TCTTGAGAAACTGTTAAAATCTAGTTTTGTTTGAAGACGTTTGTGCCACCCAAACTATAAGCAGTTGAGTTTTTCCAGTGTCCACATGACATTACTGCAGCAGGGAATATCTGAGTGCTCGTCCTCTCTGTGTCGAGCATTAATTGGTTTGCAGTACCGTTGAGCTGATCAGAGTTCAGCTGATTAAAGTGTGAGTGTGTGTGTGTGTGTGTGTGTGTACACACCTGCGTGGCGATGAATGCTGAAGAGCCTGTGTTATAAAGGTGTCAAATAAACTGTGAGAGAGCCGTCTCCTTTTTGGCACAGGATTGGATGGCTTGTCAGCTTCATTATATTATTGTTTTTTTTTGTCTGCATTGCACTTCTTATACTCTAAGGGCCATCTCTCTTACTCGCTGTCTCTCTTGGTCTCCTTCTCCATCCCTTAATCTTTCATTCGGTCTTCCTTCCTTTCTCTCCCACTGTTTTTTTATGTTTCTCAAAAAAATTTTTGAAGTCAGACCCTGCTGAGTCTGGTCTACATCACGGCAGCATGCACTGACCATAGAGGTCTCCTTTTGCCAATTCATAAACCCACAATGGTTTCAAGAGAGAGAGAAAAAAGAACAATGATGAGCTTTTCATCAACATCTACACAGACAATAGAAAATAAAGCACAACATGTCAGTCAACCCGGTAGGAAAAAAAAATTAAAATGCTGCTGTCTTATCAGGGTTATCCCGCCCTAAATTTAATATAGGCATTCGCAAAGGTCCCTGAAGTACAAAGAGAGCCCCTCAAGGAATCGGTAATAAATAAGCGACACACTTGCGAGTGTCACGTCACGCTATTGAGGAAGCACGCAGAAGGCACGAGTAAACGAGAACTGTCTTTAATCAAGGAAACATAGGAGATAATCCACAATAGGCGCTTGAGCCAACACACGTAGAGAACGAGTAGACCTGACAAACAAAAACTGAACAGACTACACTCTTAAAAATAAAGGTGCTTCAAAAGGTTCTTCAAGCGATGCCATAGAACAACCATTTTTGGTTCCACAAAGAACCATTCAGTCAAAGGTTCTTTAAAGAACCATCTCTTTCTTACCTTTTTATAATCTGAAGAATCTTCTTTTGCCACGAAGAACCTTTTGTGAAACAGAAAGGTTCTTCAGATGTTAAAGGTTCTTTATGGAACCATTTAGACAAAAAGGTTCTTCTATGGCATCGTGAAGCACCTTTATTTTTAAGAGTGTAGGGCTGTGTCCGAAATCGCCCCCTATACCCTTAAATAGGGCACTATTTTAGGGAACAGCCATTTTTAGTGGTGTCCGAAACCATAGTGGACGTTCTCGAGTGTACTCATTCAATCCCACAATGCACTGCAAAAATGAGTGTACAACTGGTGCACGCTCAACAGCTAGAGAATGCCCATAATGCACCGTGAGAGTCACGCGCCGAATGAATTCCCGCATCTCGCCAGAAGATGGCGCCCGCAGCTGAATAATCAATCCGTTCATTTTTACAAAGCGCTCATCTATGGCATACAGCATAATGTACAACACGGGTATACATTAATTGTAAATTCATTATTAAATTGTTTGATTAGGGTTTATACATAATTTCCGTTCAAGATAAATCCTTTAATCTTACTACTGGAGCTGCTAGTTTGCTAGTTTCAAATGATTAATAAACCGCCAAGCACAAACTATGCAAAAGCGGCATTCCTTCCGGTGCACTCAGTGTCCGAATTCACTACTCGTTTTCATTCACTCCTTCTAGTGAACTGAATTAGTGACCTAATGTAGGGAATAGTGAATGAGGGTATAGGGGGCGATTTCGGACACAGCCTAGGACTTTTAAACACAGGGCAATCGGGGGAACACAGGTGACATCAATGGAACATAATCAAACTAAACAAAGACAGGAACATGACCAAATAAGGAAACACAGGAAGGACTAAAGGGGGCAAAGCAGGTCCAAAAGTCTGACAGCAAGGACATGTGACAGCAAAACATGACAAAACCATACCAATCTCATATTATTTCATTTTCTGTTCCAATCTAGCTTCCACGATTCACAGTACACTAGGCAAGGCAAGATTATTTATATAGCACATTTCATACACAATCATAATTCAAAGTGCTTTACATAAAATCACCAATAAAAGCTGAGAAAAAGCATTTTTAAATGATTAAAATAGTATTTAAAACATATTAAAACTGTTAAGAATAAATAATGAGGATACATAAAATACAGTGCAATCATTCGGGCATAGCACAGTTCTCATTCAATAAATGCACAGCTAAACAGATGTGTTTTAAGTCTAGATTTAAATGTGGCTACTGTTTAAGCACACCTGATCTCTTCCGGAAGCTGGTTCTAACTACGGGTAGCATAATAGCTAAAAGCGGACACCCTTTGTTTTGAGTGAACCCTTGGTATTTCTCACTGACTTGATGTTAATGATCTGAGTAGTCGGTTACATTTATATTCAGTGAGCATATCTGCAGTGTATTGAGGTCCTGGAAGCCAGTGTAAGGACCTGAGGACTGGTGTGAATATGCTCAGATTTTCTGGTTATAGTCAGAATCCTAGAAGCAGCATTCTGTATGAGCTACAGCTGTCCAATGGTATTTTTGGGAAGGCCAGTGAGGAGTCCATTACAGTAGTCCATCCCAGAGCCATGGAAAGAGAGAGTTGCGTCAACGGAAGTCCAAAACGCTCGATCGTCACGTGATTCACGTAGACCTCAAATAGTTCCAGGAAGTTCATAGCGGGCAATTAAAATACATTGAGTTGGAGAGACAGAACTGTGATTTTTTGGTAATTAGTAGACAATAAAATAATTTATTTACATTATGTATAAAGTAATGTATACATAGTATATATATATATATATATATATAGATGTAGTTATATTAGTGTTGTTTTTAAAATATAAAATCCTCTAATATTTGAGGATTAATGTGGTTAGCTATCCGTACCTGCCTTGTTAACATATTTTAGGCTTTAGTTACCATGGTAAAAGTCCGTGTTTGCTATATAAAAGACATCGTGGTCTTCTGCCAAGGTAACTTCAGCCTCTCTATATAAATATAATGATGTGTGTGTGTTCTTACAACTTGCTTGTTAGTCAAGTTCAATCACAAATATACCTGTTCATTGTCGTTTTTCTAATCTCATGGTAAATGTTAAGTTTGTCTTAGAAAATTCATTCCAAATAAATGAAGATATTTTATTAAGTGAAAACTAATCTTGTTCAATGTTTTTGATTCTTGTGCACCCCTCAGTTATTAATATATAAAAACATATTTGTAGTATATTCCAATTTAAAACAACTTAAAACATTTGCACACATTTAATCATATATTTTATGTATGTTGACTTTTGTTATGCACTTATTTACAGCAATCGATTTATACATTTATAATAAACTATAAAGCATGTTGTCCTTGCACTGCATGGGAGTGCTCCAGTCACTCACAGAAAGGAGTGTGAATGTATGGTTTCCCTACTGATCTGGAGAGGAGAAAAAAAATGCAATTTTGTTCAATTCACATTTATTTGTATATCACTTTTTAATATACACATTGTTTCAAAGCAGCTCTACAGAAAATGAATGTTTCTACATTACAAATAAGAGTTCTGTTAACAGGTGTAACTGTGCCAAAGTAATGGTAGAAATGTTCTAAAATTAGGCTATACAAATCATGCAGTTAAGTAACGTCATGTATTCAGAAACAGTTAAATATATACAGAAACAATGAACAAATTAAAGCAATGGTTACATGATGTGATCATGTTGATTACAATGCAAGGAAAATGTAGCAGTTTTGTATGTCATCTCTTCATCACAGGTGTTGGGTCATCTGAAGTCTTCGTAAGAGGCTGGATATAGTCAGCAGGAGCAATCTATAGATTACACCAACAAAATGTTTTAATACTCTGATGAGAGTTAGTAGACATGTAGGTGCAACATTACTTATTGTCAACAGAATGTTCGAAAGGAACCATCAAAATAAAGTGTTATCCTATTTTTTGTAACCTTTTCTGTGGACCCCCTAGTGCACCCTTGCAGCCGCCGGGGGTCCCTGAATTCCTTGAACAGTTTAAAAACTCCTCAACTAATTAAACAAGATGCACATGGACCTCTACATTTAACACAGACAACCACAAGAACACATTTAATTAAAAGATGAGGTCTGATTAATCACCACATGAAAAGTAATTGAAAGTGACAACAAATGCAACAACAGCTGCATAAATAAAATCAAGAGTAATCAGTTTAATTTATTCATGCCGTGCATTGCTGTGATCTCAAGTACTGCATCACAGTGTATTATCCTCACATTACACACCTTGCTCAAAAATGCCTAGAAAGAAAAACATGGAAAAGCTTTCTTTGTGTTTTTGAATCTTTGGTGTGCTTACTGTTTAATGTTTAAAGCATTTAAATTGGGGGAGGAAAAGACCTATGGTGATGTTGAGAGTTTTTAAGGGGTCTCTGAGGTAAAGCTGCAATGTCGGCTGTGCAGGAGAAGCAATAATCAACTTTAAAGGTTCCAGTGATTGTAATTCCTGTGTAACTAGAGTTCATTTATGGTGCCTGTATGGTGTATTAAAAAGTTTGGGACAACTACAAAAAGCATCTAACAAATGAAAGGTCCAATGACTAAGGCCATCTTTGGACAGCAATGCAGCACAGAAAAGATACACTGTCACGGACTTTTTAATCACATGGAGCAGCATAAACTTAAATGCATGTAAATGATCAACTGATAAAAACTGATAAATGATAACTAATAAATAATGTAAATAAGTATTGTTAAATATTATTTAATATAAATGCAAAGCCTGCATTCAATTGTGACAGGTTCAGGCAATTTTTAAGTCAGTAACTATAATTTTAATTTAGAAACATTCCAAGCTTAGATTTATTTAATGTTTGATTGATGGAAAATGTCAGTCGTCTGCCATTAGACCTAAATTATTTTTCTTTTTCTCTCTTTTTTGACCCAGATAAACCCAGCATGCACACACCTGAAGCCTTGGTGAGAAGTCATGTTGTGTATAATGCAAAGGTAAAGTTTGAGACATATTTCTTATTTGTTCCTTTCCTGTACGTAGTTCTTTCTGCTTCTACTATATTTACTACACAGTGGGGGGACATATACACACACTCAGGCACCCTGTGGGCCATCCTAAACAGCAAGTGCAGAAATGCACACTGCGTACCACTGTGTACACCATTTCTTTGACTTTGGGATGTGAGATGTGTGTGCGTTAAGAGTATGAGAGATAGCCTGCTGTTGCTATGATGGCTGTAGTGATGTTTAAAGTTGTACTAAATGCACTTGTGTGTGTGTGTGTATGCGTGTGTGTGTGTGTGTGTGCGCGTGTGTGTGCGTGTGTGTGTGTGTGTGTGTGTGAGTGAGTGTGGAGTGTTATGAGAGCTCCCAGAATTCCCTTTCTCTGACCTTCATCAGTTTTTATCACCAGCAGCCAGTACAAAATGATACACACACCTATTCTAATCAGCCCAGTCACCAATACATACAAAATACATACATAAAATGTTTTATTTAAGGTTTGTGGTTTGTGTCTACTGTGTGTTCATGTAGTTCCTGGGAATCACAGAAGTGGAGCAGCCCAAAGGGACAGACATGGTCCGTGTGGCCGTCAGGAAGCTGAAGGTATTGTGTTTACAGCACTATTCTGAACATTTATGGGCTATAAAATGTGCTCACGGTTCTTCTCGCCTGTTTATGGGGCAGAAACGGCTGTGATAATTAAATGTAAATATACAGACATTTTAAAAGGCCAAGTTCACTTTCAAAGTTCATATAACAGGCTCAAGCTGCATTTCAATTGTATGTGAGTGCCAGTTAACACAAGGCAAAAGCTGGTAGGTAAAACAATAATTTATATAATTATTAATCTGATAAAAATAAGGAAATGATTAATAATTGAATAGTGATTCTTAATTTATTCATATCTAATTATTATAAATTAATATTCTGTATTTTATTGCTTTATTTTACATGATCATTTGTCTTCAATCATCATTAATACTGTTGCTGATATTAATATTCTAAATACTACACTAACCTGTTTAGAGTTGGTGTACTGTTATTTTTTAAATTACTTGCTTTTCGCCTAGTGAACAATGAAGTTACTTTCAAAAAAATGCCATAGACCTACACTGAACGAGGGACCTGAGACATATTTAGGGCCAAGAATATCATAGAGACTTTTAAGTGGGTCTTTTCAGCTGATGAACCACGTAGCAATGCCCTAGCAAATTCAGAGCAAAACCCTGGCAACCCTAACATTGGCAAACTCCCTCACATTTCCTTTAGAATATGTAAATATCTTTTGGAAACATCTGTGTTTTTATTTAATAACTGAACCAAACAGTCAATACACAGGACTCTGCTTATAACTAAAACTGTTTATGAGACTGAAATAAAGCTGTGACTCATTCACGGTGGGATTTTTAGGGGACAGATTAAGGGCACAATAAAAATGTCCTTTTCCTGGGCAATATTTCTTTCGCCCAATTTATGTCCAGCTTTGGACTTTCTGCAGGTCAGTGCATTGCTCTGGAGACGTGTTTGAGCACCTCATTTCACCTGATGCTCTACTGCTCTCCAGCAACACCTCCAGCTCTCTCTGCTTTTCCCTTGATAGTATGTATTTGAATCACTTTTGCTTCCTTAGTTTCAAAGGCACATCAAGAAGTCAGAGGGGCAAAAAACTCCTAAAGTGGAGCTTCAGATCTCTATATATGGTGTGAAGATATTGGACCCTAAAACAAAGGTAGGTTTTCTTAAATATAAAAATCGTCAGCATGTTCAGTGACAGAAAGTGCTTTATGAATAAATATAAAACTATATTGTTGATGTGATTCCATGCATTGCAACCCTACTTTAGACTTGAAAAGTCACAGTAATTTAGTCATCCCAATGTACTACCCCACTACCATCCTCACACCTGCTCTGACAGAAAAATACAATTTGGCAGAAAATTACATTTGCTATATTATCTTTCAAACATTTACTGTTTAATGTCATGCCAATTAAGTGCCGTTAGCACAACTGACAGAATTATTTCTTTCCAATACTAAAATAATTTAACTAATTCAGCAACTAAAGTAACCAAATAGCAAAATAGCTCTGTCAGGATCTGAAAAGAGAGCCAATGTTTTTGAACAGCAGTTGTTAGAAAAATCATGAATGCCTATTTTCCATTTCAAAAGCAAAAGTGGCAGGTTGTGTAATAGCAGAATCTTCTCACATGAGAAATAGTTTCTGTTGTCATGTGTAACGTGAGGTATTATTGTAGATAAACTCACAGTATCTGCACAAGCACGGGAAATCAGTAATAACCAAGGGCGATCGCTTCTGGGCATTTAATGCTCAGTGGGGAAAGACTAACGCTAAGTGAATTTGCATTTGTGTTTGAAATTTTATTGCGGTATCCCTCATTAGACTTCAGCGAGTTTGTTGTGCTGTAACGCTTGTCAGTTTGAATGAGTGAAAAGATCACATCAGCAGTAAAACAAACACTTTTCCATCAATATACTGTATCAATCATCATTTACAATTCATAAACCTATAAACTTGTCCCTTTCAAATGCACACTGTGTGATCCCCATCAGATCTTGAAACTTCTCAATTCAGCATCTACACTTGTCAAACAGGGGTTTCATTTTGTGCATAAAATGGGTAGCAGTCTTGGAATGTGTTATTTTGAATGTTTTGATGAAAGCTTGTTGAGGCTGTTATCATGTTCTTGTGCACAGAAATACATACAGACAAATGCTCCAGTCTATTGCTTTTCATTTCAGTGAAATCACAAAGTATTTTGATATACATACACTGACAAGCATCTGCAATTATGCATTATTAAAAGAATAGTTCACTCAAAAATGTCAGTTTGCTGAAAAATGTACTCATCTTCAGGCCATTCAAAATGTGGGTGAGTTTGTTTCTTCATTGGAACAGATTTGGAGTAATTTAGCATTAAATGACTTGCTCACTAATGAATCCTCTGCAGTGAATGGGTGCCGTCAGAATGAGAGTCCAAACAGCTGATAAGACTGCAACAATCCACAAGTAATCCACACAACTCCAGTCCATCAAATATCTTATAAAGTGAATTATTGTGATGTTTTTATCAGCTGTTTGGACTCTAATTCTGACAGCACCCATTCACTGCAGAAGTTCCATTGGTGAGAAAATTGTGAATTGTGTAAATTTATCCAAATCTGTTATGATGAAGGAACAAACTCATCTACATCTTGGACAGCCTGTGGGTGAGTATATTTTCAGCAAATTTTTATTTTTGGGTGAACCGTTCCTTTAAAACAGTGGTTGCCAACCCGTCGATCGCGATGTTTCCTGGAAACGGTGTGCAACGGTGTGCAACGGGGTTTGAGATGCGTTTTCTCTTGTTTGGTGGGTGTGTCAAACATGGCAGCCCAATCAGCAGCAACATGTATATAAACCACATGGTATTAAAGAGACAGCTCGCACAATGTAATTAACATCCAAATAAATTCACAAGAGCAAGTATATTGTTTGCACATGTTTATTTACATTAAAGGCAAAATAACTAAAATAATAAGAGCACAAGTATAGATCTAGAACTTCTTTAAGTCTGTCTAAATATCATTTAGTAATTGCAATGTCTTCTGGTCCATATCCTTTCCTTAGGTCAATAAATAGTTTTCATCAAACAAGATTCAATATTGCATACTACAAACTTTGATAATGTCAATCTGTGAATCCGCACGGCATTAGTGAATACTGAAAATATAAAAAGCACAGCTTACATGTGCAACAGGCCCATATCAACAATTATTACTATAAATATTCTACAAACTTTGCTTTGCTTAGCTTTTAATCTTTTTGACGGCTGTGCAGAAGAATCAGATATTTAGCTCTCCCCAGTGATTTAGCTGATTCCAGTGTAAATACATTTACTGTATGTCACATTACAATGTCTGCATAAATGTTCCTTTTCATTATTTATACTGTATGGTGTTTAAAATGCTGCTTCCTTTGAAATGTAAATACGAGTATAGATGTAACCAGAATTTCACTGGCTCATAATCTCGTGAGCAGGCTGCGGGGGCGTCCTGTATCCCAAAAACTTATGCAAAATGTTTTCACGTGATTGACAAATGAAAATGGGAATCTTTTTGTGCAATGTGCTTATGTTAATTGAAGATTCAGGATTTGGAGATGGAAAACTCAAAACTGAAGAAGAAGCTTAAGGAGCTGGAGGATCAGCTGATGGATTCTCGCTGCTCGCCAGAACGTTCAGTAGGAAATGAGACTTGCTTATCATTCCAGTCAAATGCTGCTGTTTCCTGCCAATCTCAATGACTCTGCTCTCTTTCAGTTCATCAAAATGTGTTTGTTTTTCTCTTTTATCTACTCCGCCATTTGTTTTTCCTCTTTTCTCCATTCCAATCTTTCTCTCTCACTCCCCAACCCCCAGTGCCCTTTTTCAGCACCTGCATGTTAATGTCTCTAATGAGCCGTGCATTTTGCAGAAGCCGTCTGCCTTGTCCTGGAGTGGTGATGATGTCACATCACTGTCCAGCCTAGAGATCTCCTCTGTCACTCTAACACCTGTCAGCTCACCCGATTCCAGCCAATCAGCAAGCTTGCTCACCCAGCCTCCTGCTAAGCCCACCCACTCACAGCCCACAAGTGGTTGCATCGTGCCACAACCTCGTGTAAATGTCCCGTACATAAAAAAACAACACAGAGCACTTTGCATGTGATTCAATTACAATTTTTCATACTTAAAGGGATAGTTCACCCCAAAAAAATTCTGTTGTCATTAACTCACCCTGATGTGTTTCCCAACCTGAATGGCCTTTTCTTCCATGAAACAAAAAAGTTTTTCATAGTACACTTTTCTGTACTATGACAGTAAATGAGAAAAAAAAGCACTGTAAAAAGTGCTCTATATGATTCATGCAATATATAATTTAGTCTTCTGAAACTATATGATATCTCTGATCAGAACAAACCATGTGTGAACTATTGTCTAGCTAGTGGTTCTCAAATTTTTTTGGTGACACCTCCTTTTGAAAGTTGAAAACTTTGGCAGCCCCATCCTATATTCAAAATTGTAAAAAAGAAAATACAATTGTTAATTTAACATTAAAATGACATATTAAGTAAATGAATAAGTAATACTGCTTTGCAGGAGCAATATGAAAGGAATAGTTGGACTAAAATAATAATTGCAATAAATCTAGACATTTACTCACTTTTATATTTCTCCAACCCCGTATTAAGTTTTCATTTGTCAAACACAATAAACACAAAATTTGTGAAACACAAAAGTACAATAAAAGTAGTCCATAAGTGTGCATTATTCCAAGTCTTCATTTCAAGTTAATTCAATAACAGATCGTAATTGAAGTCAAAATTATTTCTTTACCCATTTAATTCTGGCAACTCAGTGAACGCCATACTTATAGGAATAATTCACCCCAAAAATGAAAATTCTGTAATTTACTCAACTTCCACTTGTTCCAAACCTGTGCGAGTTTCTTTCTTCTTTTGAGCACAAAAGATATTCTGAAGAATGTAGTAATCAAACAGCTGACGAAAGCCATTGATATCCATGGTATTTTTTACCATACTATGGAAGTCAATGGTTACGTCAACTGTTTGGCTTAAATGATAGCAGGTGAGCTAAGAGAAGTAGAAGAAGAAACTCACACAAATAGCATTGGTTCTCACATCAGTGCTGTAAATCTGAAAGGTGAAGGGTAACAAGATTTAATAGCTAGGCAAGTCTCCACACTTTTTGAGAACCACTGCTTCAACCTTGTTCTTACTAAAAGCAAAAAAACGAAAAAAAAAAACGTTGATAAAATGAATGCATTTAATTGAATTTACAGTTGAATGCTTATCATACAGTTGGGCTAGTTTTGATGCCTTTAACACACATATTACTCTTATATCCATGTTATTAGGCTGGAAGCATACAAGCTAGAGTGCCCTCTACTGACATATTTGATATGGTTCCATTCACCCCCGAATCTCCAATAACAAGACTCTAGGCATTGATAAAGCCTTTGAATTTGTTTTGGTATCCATCTCCTGACTTGTGCCTGTGCACAACTTTATCCCAGAGAGCTTTTGACAGTGCCTTGCCACCCATAGTTGATTGTTTACTTCAGTTGCAATTCCTAGGACTGAAATGCTCCAGGAAAGCTCTTTTCACGCTGAGCTGATCAAAATGACCACAGCTGATCACAGTTGAAAGTCAAATGGCTTTGTGTACCATTGAGAAGGTGATTAGCTACACCTGATAGAGTTTACAAGTCATTTTTAGGAGGGAGGTGATCCTTTTTCCAACTCAGTGATTCTGTTTTTCAATTTTTTTCAGACATGTTGGTGTTATATCTTTCACATGGATGTTATAAGATGCACTCAGTAAATACAGCTGGAAAGCTACAAAATGTGATTATTTTAAAGGGGGTGATTCTTTTCTATACCCACTGTATCTCCAAATTTGAATGCTAAAAATGTTTGTGTAAATAATTTTGAACCGGTTGCTCACATGCTTTGAAGTAGGATTATGACAGAATTCTTGATATAGGAAAGACAAATGCTCTCAGTAATGTGTCATAAACATAGAAAAAGCAGAAGCAGCCGACATGATTGGCAGACAATATTATTAGATCAAAGGATGCAGTATTTGGCTGGCAGCATTCACCCCACTGTATTAGACTGTTTTTAATTCTGATTTCATTAATCCAGAGGATTATGGAAGTTTCCGTTTCTGAGGACATCATACCTGTTATGAGATTATTAGACTCAATAAATGTCATTTGCACTTCTGTGTCTGTAAACCCTGTAATCCTGAATAATTCAATTATCTTCATCTCTCCTTTCACCTTGAATGCCACCCCCAACCTCTCAGAGGCAGAGATGGTTTGTACATGTTCTTTTGAGATTGATCCTCACAATGTATCCTCTAGTGTTTTGATATGGTCTTACAAGATATACGTTTCGATTTACAAGCATGACACGTGTCGTCTATTTTTTTATTTTTTATTGTATGTCTTTATATATTAGGCCAACTTTTTTTTTTTTTTTTTACTTTTTCTGCACCTTTCTTTGTGAAAAAGTATAATCATCAGAGTCAAAGGCCATTGAAGAACTAAGAAATGACAGGTGTTTAGATTATGTGTGGTGCTGGTTATTTTATGCATGCTGTCTCAGTGTTTTTTCAGACTAAAAAACTTGTTTTACACACACATATTACCAGTACTGTGCAGCTGCATGTAGTTTCATCCCTAAGCCTATTTTTGCAATGTGCATGCAGAAAAAAAATAAAACATTGAAATGCACTATCCAGTTAAAATGAGCACTCATAGAGTCTCATTCTTATTGGCTGCATGTATTGCGACTGCATTCACGAAAGTCAACATTTCAGAACCACAGATGCAGAAGAACAGCTTTCTTAGGCTATCAAGTCTGAAACGAAATAAAAAATGCTGCTGGAGTTACACTGCAGTGCTGATGTAAAACAGACTTTACTGTGGTTTTAAAAAAAAAAAAATTAAAGAAATTCTTTAAAATTTTAAAGAAAATCTTAAATGTAAATAAACTGCTGATCTGTTATGCATTATGATAATGTTTGCTGTAATGTTAATAATGAAAGTTATTATATAGTGTTATCTAAAGCTCAATTTAGCTTTGTCATTGACCTTGTTGTGTGTCTATATTTCGCTTAGGAGGGGTTCCAAATGGGACTGACTCTAGAGGGGACGGTGTTTTCTCTGGATCAGGTGGACAGCCGATGCTGATTTTGAAAATACATTTTTGTATATGCCTTTTGTATATGTATATGAATTTGTATATATTCTTGACCACAAAACCCTCACATATTAAATGTTTGATTTTGAAATGAATTTGAAAGAAATGTCGCAGGAGCCTCAAAAATGTCTATAGAGGTCATTTCTATTTTTATAAGATAAAATCAGCATTTCAGATTGTAAATACTATTTATGATTTGTGTATTTTAACATCTTAATCTTATAACAGAAACTGTTGAAAAAGTGAGAGAAACAAAATGTGCTCTAGCCCTTTCTAGAAATTTTCTAGAGTTTTGACCAAATTTAGACCGTTTAAATTCAAAGACGCATTCATTCATGGCCAAAAGTTTAGAATAGTTTATACCGAGCAAGATCACTGCTGAGGTTCAGATCCTTTTTACTTCCATTGATGGCTGTTTTAATATTTGTTAAATGCGTCTCACTTGCTCTTTGATGGTGAATAAATGAAAACTGATAGCACACTATATTAGCCTTGTGCTCATTTTTTTAACAACCACAAACAGTAATTCTACCAATAGAAAACGGTTCTTGTTTTCAGACATTTATTCATGGCAAAAATCAATGGAGGTCTGTTGAAAAGGAACATTACAAACAATTGACCCCCTCTGGATAAAGAGTTTCTTTGTCATGTATTATGGGCTAATCAGCCTTTTAATGAGACCAGCATTGGTTTATGTGAGAGTTCTCATTAATAGTAAAGTATAAATAAATCATCTGTCTAACAGTTTGCTATCAACAAACAACAGTCGTTATCAGGCTTGGGAAGAGAACTGCTGGGGAATTGAATGCAGATGTGCTGTCCTGAATAATTATTCCACTTTAATACAATACAAACAAACTCATCTCTCTACTCTCTCTACTTGACCTTCAGAATCCACTTGAAATTATTGTATGTAGTTTTGTAGATGTTGTTCACCCTTAAATCGCAGATTAGACCGGCAAGGCACAGTCAAATTTGTAAAACATGACTTTTTGAATTAATTGAAATGAATGTTTTCACACATTTTTAATAACGCCTGGCGTATAACATATACATTAAAGGGTCCATAGTCTCTAATGCACTCATATACACTGTAGGATATCAGACCGAATCAGACAATCTAAGATTTGGTCAAAACATGGCTGAAACCTGAGGAGCCCGAATTCCACAGAGGCCCAAGACAACAGGATGTTCATAAATCAGATCCTGGCCCCCAAGCCTGAACCAACTAGCAGCTTTGAGTAGCTCACAGCATTTAAACAAAAGAACACTTATTGACAATTCCAAGGAGATTGTCAATTTTGGGGGCAAGTTATCAAGAATAATGGTCAAAAGAGATGCACAGCGTGACCGTCACATGGAAACATGTGATAGTGATCACAAGCTCTTCGAATTGACATCCCCCACCTAGGAGACAAAGAACAGACTTTCAGAGATTCCTAGCCTTTTGTCTCTCTCTTGGCTCGCTTCTTCAACCCCCTTCTTTGCTCGCTCTTTGTTTTTACTCTCCTCTTTTTAGTCATAGCTTTGAGCTATGCTTTTTAATCATGCTTCTTTAGCTTTTGAGCGTGCTCTGGCTTACACGCCAGCTCCTCCAAAACCATGAGGAGAAACGCCACCTGGTCTCATCAAACTTCTATTTCTTTACTTTAGTTTATTTTATTTTCCGTTGAGAGTTTCGTGTTTTGAGTTAAGTTTGCCTAACGCCGCATCTTCGAAAGAGTGCTGTCTAAAACTTCAACTGCAGACCACAGCTCCGCATCGCCAGCCAACGCCCAACCACTGGCTTCCCAAGACTGAACCTCCAGCCAATCAGCAACCTCGGGAAACCCCTTTCGGCAACCAGACAAGGAGGGGAACCCCACATCACAGGAAAGCAAGTACCTCCAGATTCTAGCTGAACTGGTGCATTTAATATAAATTTGAACCTCATTGAAGGACTCAATGCGAGGGTTAATTAAGTGATTGGTTGTTGTTCAGATCTATGCAATTGCACATATTGCTGTAAACTTGGGATTTCACATTTCACTATATTAGCCTTGTGCTCATTTTTTTAACAACCACAAACAGTAATTCTACCAATAGAAAACGGTTCTTGTTTTCAGACATTTATTCATGGCAAAAATCAATGGAGGTCTGTTGAAAAGGAACATTACAAACAATTGACCCCCTCTGGATAAAGAGTTTCTTTGTCATGTATTATGGGCTAATCAGCCTTTTAATGAGACCAGCATTGGTTTATGTGAGAGTTCTCATTAATAGTAAAGTATAAATAAATCATCTGTCTAACAGTTTGCTATCAACAAACAACAGTCGTTATCAGGCTTGGGAAGAGAACTGCTGGGGAATTGAATGCAGATGTGCTGTCCTGAATAATTATTCCACTTTAATACAATACAAACAAACTCATCTCTCTACTCTCTCTACTTGACCTTCAGAATCCACTTGAAATGATTGTATGTAGTTTTGTAGATGTTGTTCACCCTTAAATCGCAGATTAGACCGGCAAGGCACAGTCAAATTTGTAAAACATGACTTTTTGAATTAATTGAAATTAATGTTTTCACACATTTTTAATAACGCCTGGCGTATAACATATACATTAAAGGGTCCATAGTCTCTAATGCACTCATATACACTGTAGGATATCAGACCGAATCAGACAATCTAAGATTTGGTCAAAACATGGCTGAAACCTGAGGAGCCCGAATTCCACAGAGGCCCAAGACAACAGGATGTTCATAAATCAGATCCTGGCCCCCAAGCCTGAACCAACTAGCAGCTTTGAGTAGCTCACAGCATTTAAACAAAAGAACACTTTTTGACAATTCCAAGGAGATTGTCAATTTTGGGGGCAAGTTATCAAGAATAATGGTCAAAAGAGATGCACAGCGTGACCGTCACATGGAAACATGTGATAGTGATCACAAGCTCTTCGAATTGACATCCCCCACCTAGGAGACAAAGAACAGACTTTCAGAGATTCCTACAGACCTCTTAATCTCTGGTCTTCATGCATTCACAGAATGGCACGGAAACTGCCTTTTCATGCACCTAAATGACACTAAAAGGACTCAGCAACTAATCATTGCTGCTATATATAACCCCATATCATGTATGTAACCCACATGTGACTTATCAGGTCTTAATCATTTATTGTGTTACAGACGGTGTTCACAATAAATACTGTATTGGCTGAATGCTCAAGTCCAAATGATGATGCTTTTATCCTTGG